TTCTTCACCCTTTTGAGTATTTTGCTCATCCTTTTCTACCCAGTAATCAGTAGTTGGTAATCTTTCCTTGTGAGTTCGTTACCCAAATTTTTCTACCTAGTACTGGGTATCCGGTAATGTTTCTTCACCTTTTGAGTATATTGCCTTTATTGTGTTATCTATTGATTGGTAGTCGGTAATATTCTCACCCCCTTTGGTTTATTACGCTTATTTTCTACTCAGTAACCAGTAGAAGCATTTTACCTGTTCTCTTTGGATCAACTATATTCGCCCAGTAACTGGCAGTTGGTATCTCTTTCCCTGTTGATTCGTTTCCTTTCCTTTATCGGAATAGGATCTTGCTCTTTTGTTCTCCCTTGTGGAGTCTCTTTTCTTCTTTTGATCCTGAACTTTTGTTTGTCTCCTGTGGCATTTTCTCCCCACAGAGGTCTTGTGTTTGCATACCATTAGCATAGCCATATCATTTTGTGGTCTCTTAGGGCAAAAAATTGGGTTTATTGTTATATTTAAGTCTCTTCTATCTGGTCGAGACAAAGATGTCAATCTTCATATCTCCCTATAGAAGAATCTTAAATAGGGGCAGCTGTAATACCCTAATTTTTACCCCTAAGATCCCACATTGCATTTTCATTTTTGCATACACAAACAAGACCATACTTTTTGATTTTTCTTAGGTCCCTTGTTGTTTCATACTTGCTTTATGTTTGTTTCTGTTTACTAACATCTAACCAAAATATCAAAAATATTTTCCAATTTGTTTGTTTCTTCTTCTTCTCTGTGTGTTTAGGGTTTTGCAAGGAGATTAATGGCAAAGAAATTCATTCAAGTTTAAATCAGATGGACGTTTGACCTCATCTTGGTCAAACTATCAAGAGTTTGCTTCAACCATAAGTTACCCGTGGTGGTGGGCTATTTTCTCAGGAAATGTGATTTTTCAAGATCAAATTGTCTTGTGTTGAAATTCATTGATTTATCAAGCAATGTTCTATGAGAAGTTTGATCCAGATATTCAGAGAATTATGTCAAAAATCAAAATTGATGGCCGATGATTCAGTTGCAGGTTGGATCAGAATGTGTTCTTCAGTGTGCTTTTCTATACACAATTGTGCTTTGATCTTCTGCACAGCCTTCTCACAAACCATGCATTGAGTGACTCACTTGAAATCTACCTTGTGGAGAAGATCCTTATTGTTGAAAATGGTGCTTTTAATTAAAATGATAGGACTCTCACCTTGCTTGCTCACACATTGTTTAGTAGGGTTGGTTCTGTTGGCAGTCAGTTGAGGACCAAGTTTTTTTTAGGGGATATGTTGCCGTTGTCGTTGAGAAGGCAAATTCTGTTATGTACATTGTCCAAGTATCAATGAACTCATTTGGTTCATAGTGAGGTAGTTCTTATGGCCTTCCATTTGTCATGTGAAGGAGAAAAAGGAGTGAAAAGAGGAGTTTTCTACACTGCTCAACAGATTGAACTTGTAAGACACATGGAATGGAATGCAGTTTCTCGCCTAGAATTTATTACAAAAAATCCTGCAATTTCTGCCACTGCTAGGAAGTCTCCAAGTCATGCAGGATTTCATTCCAAGAACAATTTGAATGAGCCATTTGCTGTTAATCATGATGGCCTACCTGATCTTGATTACTCTCAGAGAAAAAAGTTCAAAAGGATGAAACTCCTAGAGTAAAGCCCTACTACAATGATGTCGTCCCAACAAATTCTTCAATGCATCAAAAGCCCGATGCCGCTTCTACGACAGAGAGAATTCGATCTGGTTTGGATAATTCTGAACAAGATTTGCAGATAGGAGACGTAATTTATCGGCCTCTTGTTGATGGGGATAAAGTGTTGATAAATAGACCTCCTTTCATACATCAACATTCTATGATTGGTCTCACGGTTACGTTCTGCTGCCCATGGAACTCTAAATGTTCCGGGGTTGAGATTAGGAGTTGGCCCAAAAGGTGGACTAGGTGATCACGGTGATGCGGTATCTCGTCAGCTCATACTTACAAAGGTTTCACTTGTGGAAAGGCGTCCTGAGAACTATGAAGCTGTTAGTGTTCGTCCTTTATCTTCGGTGTGTGCTCTTGTTCGGTTTGCTGAAGAATCCCAGATGTTTGCAATTGAATTCAGTGATGGATGCCCCATCCATGTTTACGCAAGCACATCTCGTGATAGTTTACTTGCAGCAGTTCGTGATGCGTTGCAAACTGAAGGTCAATGTGCCATACCTGTCTTGCCAAGACTAACAATGCCTGGTCACCGTATTGATCCTCCCTGTGGGAGAGTTTATTTGCAATATGGTCAACAAAAGCCTGTTGCTGATGCAGAAAGTGCATCCATGCATTTGAAACACTTAGCAGCTGCTGCCAAAGATGATATTGCCAGAAGAGGGTATGAATATGCGTCTGCTTCAACGGTGAAAGATTGGGAAGATTGGAAGTATCAAACTCAACAAGAGATGATTCTAAGCTCGTTAATTCTCATGCATGTCCATCTATCTCAAGTTGTTATTAAGGTGAATGATTCTCTGAGAAGCCAATGTGGATAAATTCTCCAGTCTCACAATCATCGGTATTTTTAGAATGTGATTCTGTAGAAATTCTTATTAGTTGGATACATCTGAGAGTATCGAAAGCTCAATCAAGAGTGAGCTTCCTGGACAATGGCATCAATTCAAACTGAAGGTTCAAAGGTCTGAGTTGCTATCTGTTAGTAATACAGGTGGTGTTAAGGCTGCGATTTTCTTCCGACTAACCCATGGCGAAGGCAAGTTGTATGGGTCTGTTACTGGAGTTCCTGATCATGAGTTTTTTCTGATTACTTGCAACAACTCCTCTGTGAAGCAAGGTTTTGGGGGTCACTTATACCACTAGCTGCCACTGTACGCGAGCTTTTGCATCATAAGACCGCAGGTAATGAAGCATATCAGGCTGGACGACACGCAAAAGCTGTTGAACACTATACATTTGTTTTATCTTTTAATTTGGAGTCTCGTCCATTTGCAGCTGTCTGTTATTGTAATCGCGTCGCGGCATATAAAGTGTTAGGTCAAATAACCGATGCTATTGCAGATCGCAGTCTGGCTATAGCTCTTGATGGAAACTATTTGAAGGCACTTTCTAGATGTGCAGGTCTGTACGAGATGATCAGAGATTATTCCCAAGCAGCCAAGAAGATGCACAAAGTTGTATTACCGTTTCTAGTGTCCAAAGAAAGAAAAGGCAAACTCTTGTTTTCTCTGCAACTGTCGCACTATCTGCTGATTTTCGCAAGAAGCTAAAGCGCAGTTCAATTCAGAAAAAGCAACCATCGGCAATTGCTTTGGATTCTATTGAAACTCTTTCTGAGCGAGCGGGAATGAGACCCAATGCAGCAATTATTGATCTTACCAATCCATCAATATTAGCAGCCAGGATTGAAGAGTCATTTATTGAAAGCACATGAAGCTTTAATAAATTTGATAACATTGTGGCAAGGAAAATGGATGGTTATAAACTCCTTGAACATGTTGGGTTGGAATTGATCTTCTTGTTATTATGATGTCTGCTGATGATAGGATAAGTACTGTCATGAAGGAATATACGGCAGCATGTCGTAAGGAAATTTTTGAATGAAAAGAAGAGGAACTTATAGATAAACTGGGTACGACTTCCTCAATCAATGATAAGTCATGTTCTATGATAGTTGAACCTGAAGGGTCTTTGGCTGACAGATCAAGCAACTCTAGTGTTGAAGAAACTGTAATAAATACTGATGATTTAGAAAATTTTGAATCAGAGAAGAATGTAGTAGAGACTTCTGTTTATTCAGAACTTATTCCTAGTAGTATGGCTAATGGAGTCCATTCTATTACTTTGGAAGATGGCAGTAATCACATTCAGCAAGTCAATAAGTCAGACACAAATTTACATACCAATGATAAACTAGTAGAAGTTGAAGGACTCCTAGGAGTTGTTTTCACTGTTGCAACTTTAACAGATGAGGCCATAGATGTTGGAGAGCTTGAATCACCTAGATTTGATAATGATCCACCTGTTAAATGGACTGGTAAAACTACAGTTCTCTGCCTCTCAATGGTTGACTCGCTCTGGCTGACAATACTTGATGCATTATCCCTTATTCTATCAAGGTCACAGGGAGAGGCTATTGTATTGGAAATATTGAAGGGATATCAAGCATTCACTCAGGCTTGTGGGATTCTTCGGACTGTAGAACCTTTAAACTCATTTCTTGCATCCCTTTGCAAATTCACCATCAACTTTCCTGTTGAAACTGAAAAAAGGAGTGCTTTGCCGTCTCCTGTATCAAAACGGTCAGAAATAGCAGTTGACCAGAGGGAAAGCATTGTGCTTACGCCCAAGAATGTACAGGCCCTGAGAACTCTTTTCAACATTGCTCATCGATTGCATAATGTTTTGGGTCCATCCTGGGTTTTGGTTTTGGAAACTTTAGCAGCTTTAAATGTTGATAGCTTGCAAAATGTACTAGGTGCTTTTAAGCTTATCGAGACACTGCAAACTGTGATAAGAAGATATGTTGGCAAGCTACTGTATGGTTCAACCGATAATGCAAGTCTAACTGGAGAAGTCGTTGTCACCTGTTTAAAGAAAGCCATATCATATTTCCATGATCATTCTGATTACTTGAAAAAAACATTGCCGCCATGATTTTTCCATTACTCCTTGCTATGCCACAGACACAGAACTTGAATTTAAAAGCTCTTGTACTAGTCAACAAATTTACCTGGCCATTTTATCATAATGTTGTTGTGTCTAGCTCTGAAGTTAATCCTCCGTTTTTGGTTGCATATTCGGGAAACTTGATTCTCCTTTGTAAATTAATGAATTCAGGAGCCGATATGAATGTGAGATTTTTCCGTGGCTATGCTTCACAGCTTGCATGTGAAGATGTTTTACTTGAATCAAGTTATGTCGGACGGGCTAAATTTGTTGAGGTTGTTGATGTACTCATCAAGCGAGCGAGTGGATCTATCACAATGAGCCATAGCATCTTTCACCAAACTTTGCTTTGTCAAACGCAATCGGTTGCTGAGTATCAAAGTAAGCTTAATTCTTGTGGAATTGTTTCCGGTACTTTATTCCAATCGCAGAGTGTTGATAAAGAAAAGAAGCTTTTGCTGTCTACAAATTTCCGCGGGAGCAGATTGTGTGTTAGGAAACGCAGAGTAGCCATGGCGAAGAACCATTCTATTTCACGCGCTGTGTTAACTTCAAATGCGGCTTCTGAGCTTTCAGAGAAGTTCAACCTGGAAGGAAATATTGAAATGCAGGTCAATCTTAGTTTTTCAGGATCAGGAGAATGCAACATTACAAACTGAGAAGGATTCTTCAGCGAGCCATAGCTTCAACGAATCGTCATCCCCCAAAATGGCAAAGTCACTCCTCGCCGATGCTCTCTATCTTGACGTTACCGATAAACACCGCGTCGCCAAAGTTCTTGAAGGTTCTTCGGTTGTTTTTTATATGGATGTTGATGGCATCAATTATGACAATGATTTCTACAGCTGCTATAAGCTGATAGTTCAAGGTGCGAAGAATGTGATCACTGCTTGCAGAGAGTGTAAAGTGAAACGCTTAATATACAACAGTTCTACAGATGTTGTATGATTTGCGTAATAGAGTTAAATCGTCGGCATATCAGTGGAAAGTTGATAACATGTTGATTGACCTTAAGGCTCATGCAGAAGCTTTGATCTTGGATGCTAATGATATTAATGGAGTCTTAACATGCTCACTTCGTCCTAGTAATGTCTTTGGTCCTGGTGACACAGAAATTGTGCCGTATTTTCTAAAGCTAGCAAGATATGGTTTCACAAAGTTTATTATAGGGACTGGTGATAATCGATCAGACTTCACCTTTTATGAGAATGTTGCTCATGCTCATATCTGTGCAGAAGAAGCCTTAAATTTCCAAACAGTTTCTGTGGCTGGAAAGGCATTTTTCATCACGAATCTTGAGCCTATGAAGTTCTGAGAATTTCTCTCACTTTTATTGGAAGATCTTGGATATCAAAGGCCATTCATCAGACTTCCTGCCAATTTGGTGCAATACATTGTCCCGGGTTCAACTGCTGCAAAAGATGATGACGGTGTCGATGATGAAAAACGCTGTTACTGCTCCATGTGAAAAAGTAGTTAGCCAGGATGATTGTCCTCTAATTATGATTTTCAAAGAGATAGAGATATGCGGTGTCATAATTCTGGCAGCAATATTGACCATCCGTTTCCTCTTCCATGCAATCAAGTTGAAACTATTAGCATCCTCAACGGTACGTAGGTGACAGCTTCTGTTATCATTTGCTTTACTTCATCTGGAAGGGCTGCAAGATTGATAGCAAAGTACAGGCCAACGATGCCGGTTCTCTCCGTTGTGATACCCAGGCTTAAGACAAATCAGCTAAAATGGAGCTTTAGTGGAGCTTTTGAGGCAAGGCAATCACTCATTGTAAGAGGTCTCTTTCCCATGCTTGCTGATCCTCGACATCCTGCTGAATCAACAAGTACCAGTAATGAGTCTATTCTGAAGGTAGCACTTGATCATGGAAAAACATCAGGTGATCACTTCCAGTTCAAGTAGAAAACGAGACTCTCATGAGAGGAGCTTGAACACGGATATTCTGATCGGGATGCTCTCGCGCGTAATTCAGGAACTCGCCTTTCAGTTTCTGCATACAAATGCAGTCTCCAAATCATTTGAAAAAAACAGAGTAATATTATAACTGGAGATACTTATTCAAGCCAGTCAAAACGTACCCATGAGAAGCTTCATATTAAGCCATATTTCCAAGCCATGTTAATATAATTCCAGCTGTGACACTCCAAGCTGACCCCACAAGCTTTTAAAGCTGTCTCTAAGCCATGAGCCAATTGCAAAAAGTGAATACCACGTGAGCTACAAAGAGAAATAGCAAAACGAAATTAAAAAAGGGAGTAACAGCAAGTCACGCAAAAAAAACCAAAACGCAGCAAGTATCAATGAAATGCAAGCTTCACGCAGCCCTCACCAATTCTCACTCAAATTTCATCTTCATTCATCTATAAATACAACTCATACCTCACTCTATTTTTTCAAGCTTGAACAGCCGAGAAAATTCTGCAGAAATATCACCCCAACCTTCAATCACCTTCAAGCTTCACTATCCTTGAAAATTCATCAACATTGCCCTTCAATTTTTCTTTAACCATTACCATCAAAACCACATCTCATTTTCGCATCTCACAAATCGCAGAAAATCTTCATCAATACAACAAATCTTCAGAAACGTGAAGGAGAAGAGAAATCCAACTGTTACTCACGAAAATTCGAAGGTAGTTACCGGTTTCGTCGAGATCTTGTGTTCTAAATTTGATTCTGAAGTTGAGCTTCGTTCGAAATTGTTGGCGTATTTAGAATCTGCTGTTGATTTCGAATCTAACCGTGTTGGTTTCGCATCTCGTCGCTCCAATTTCTGGAAAGCTCTGAAACATCCATGGCCGTGAATAGTGGCACGTTGCAAATGAAGAAGATGATATTCTGATTTGTTTTTTTCTTTCTCTTTTTTTTTCCTTTTCAATTATTTCATTTTTTTTTATTTCTTTTTTTTAAGAATTTGGGCCGTGTGGCCTTTTACTATGGTCATCCTCTTATTTTTTTTTTAAACCTCCTTTTTTCTTTAGTTTTTTTCAAATTTTCTTTTTCTCTAATTTTTTTTAATAGTTTCTTAAAATAGATTTGGACCTTGAAATTTGATAAGATTTCATCAATATCAATGGACTTTGGGTGTTGATTTTATCCACCAAGAGAGGTGATTGATATTGACGATAATTTAATCGATTAGAGATTCAAATTGTGATTTCATTTTTCTTTCTTCTTCTTTTTATTTTTGATCGATGAAATCTATGGATCATAGATTGTTGATTATCAAGGTTGTTTAATCTTCATTATTTCAAATCTATGGACGAATAATCATTGAGATAATTCTCCTTACTTTGGAATAGTGATAGATTACCTTTGATTAATTAATTAAAAATCTTGATTATGATGAGATCACTACCTCTTTTCTTTTTGTGTGGCATGTTTTAGGAGAGTGATTTACATATCACTTCTCTAACATGTATTAACACTAACATTTTATTGACCGGCCTCAGATAGTCGTGGTTTCTACATAAACCCGATTACGATTGCTTAACATAGCGCTAAAGTGTCCCTTAATCGGAAAATGATCATTCGTGGCTCAAACTTACGTTTAAAAGTCCAAGTATGTTTAGTTGCTTGTCTTAACTCCAATACCTATGAAAATCATTGTTAGGAGGCTTTGATTCTATCAATCCTCTAATGAATTTTCATTAATCTTGGTCTAAGTGCAAGAATTAATCATCATTGATCATATGTTCTAACCACTAACCACTAATTCACTAACAATATCCTTGTTTAATTTTGTTTATATTCTCTTCTTACTCCTTATTTCTTACTTTTATGCTTCCATTTTATCATTTCATATCATATCTTTGTTTATGTTTATTCTCTTTTGTCCACTTGGACCATACTTTGTTCAAAACACTAATAAAGGATAAAACATCTAAAAAATTTGGTGCTATTAACTTTGTGGTTATACTCTTGGACTACTCTTAGACCTTGGACTTCATGGACCTTTGGACTTAGAATTAGGGCTCTTATTCCTATGCTTAGAGTATTGTGGATCTTAGCCTTTATTTGGCTCGCTCATTAGCTTATACTTTAAATCGGATGAAATTCTTTTTTGCTTGCTATGGAGTGTGCTACAAGTCGGTTAGATCTTTCTTACCTCTAGCTCTTATTTTGGTTTCTAGGATAGTCACTTCATCTCCTCCCCTTCTTAAATTTTCAAAACTTTCTCCCTCTTTCAAAACCTTCTTGGTTTCAAACTCCAAAACCGTTTTCGCAATAAAACCTTGACTTTCGTCAAGTGATTTTTAAATTTTGTTTTTTTTTCTTAATAAAAGTCAATCAATGTTAATCATGCTTTGACCAATTTCAAAAGACATAAAAAATACAAAAACTCATCAACTCTTTTTGTGCCTTTATGCACTTTTTTCACTTTAAAACTTTTCATAAAGTTTAGACATGATTCATTTCTATAGTTGAGATGTAAATCTCCTATTCCCCATATTATTAAGACTTTGACATTTTCCACATTGATGTTGAGTGATAGTCTTGTTGATAATCCAAGCAAATCCTCCATCTTTATGTGACGCAAATGTTGTTTTAATACTCGTGGGTGGATAGTCGCTGTTTTCTCCTTGAAATGACGACTTGTCTTTACATCTAAAATCAATCAAAACCAACAAATTTTTGTCATTTGTACCACGAACTACGGGGTTTTGATTCCATATTGCACTTTATGGGTACGTAGGCATGAGACGATAAGTCTCTCCAAACACAAAAATCTAAAAAAATATTCTCTTCTCATCTCCCCAATCTCTTTTCAAACAAACCACTTTCAAACCAAAAAGCGTAAATATTTCAAAGGGCTCCTATAGAGTACTATAGACGTTTTGGGTGCTAACACCTTCCCATTGCGTAACCAACCCCCTTACCCCGATCTCTGTCTCGTGTTCTTATTTTAGAACTCTTTGGTTTTGTTCGCTCTTTTTTCCTTTCCTTTATTTGGATAAAATAAAAGTGCGGTGGCGACTCTTGTTTTCTTTGAGTTAAGTTAGTCAATAACTTACACTCACAATTTTTATCGCTACACCTGGATATTTGTAACTTTTTTTATTGAGAGGTCTCAATATAAGTTTAAGTCTACTCAACTTTGTCCACAACTTGTGCATCGCATTACCTGCTATATTCTGCTGCCAGCCACTCTCAAGTAACTGAGCATATGAAGCATTTTGAGTAGTAACATTAATGAACTTGAAAAGTGTTTTCCTCATGGCATGTTGTTGCTGATTCAATTTTACTATTAACGGTGCATGGTCGAATATATTTGGCGCCAGAACTTCGACAATCGCATCTTGAAATTTTTGGAACCAATCCACATTCCCAATCACTCTGTCTATTTTTGAATATCATGTCCAAAGTTTGTTTATTCAACCATGTGAAATGACACCCTCGAGTGTTGGCTTCGTAAATACCCGTAGTTTACATCATGTCAACAAGATCATTGTATTCTGCCTCTGTCACACTGTTCCCTCCAATTTGATCCTGGCCATTTAGAACGTTATTAAAGTCACCCATAGCTATCCCATGGAGTGTTCATACCTCTCCCCAAGGTTTCAAGTTCTTTCCACAATAATTTATATTTCTCGATTTGATTGAAAGTGTAAATTACCGTAACAATATACATAAGAGAATGATCTAAACTATATATTGCAGCATGAATAAATTGTTCTGCAATATTCAAACTTTCGACAATCATTTCACTCGGTTTCCACATGAGCTATATTCTTCCGTTTTCATGATGGTTGTAGTTATCTTCATAATTCCATGTTAGGCCAAATTTCTTTCATATCCTATCCGCATTCTTTTTCTTGACTTGTGTTTCCAACAATGCAATGACAGGAACATGAAATTCCGAGAGATAGGAGCCAATCTCTCGATGTCGTGATTCCTTGTTAAGGCCCCTAACATTCCATGTGATGATCATGAGACCTTTTCATTCTCCCCTGTTGGACATTCTCCAATCGTAAGGGGAGTAAATCTATTTTGATAACACTTGGGTGATGTATTCTTTGGTGTACCAACATTTGTTGTTTCGCTCTGTCCACTCTACTTGAGTTAATCATTATCCATATCCCATTGTTTATGCTCTCTATATTTTCGTATTGGATATTCTCCTCCACTGTGCTCGATGTACTTTCAGTTGTGATAGTCTTCTCCACCACCGAGTTTACTATTTTCCTTGCATGTTCAATAGCTCCATATGGACTATGCGCTGTCTTGTTCAGTTCCACATTAGGTTTTAAGCCACAGGTTTCCACATCTTCAAGGGTGCAAGTTTTATCTTCTGTTGTTTAGAGCACTCATGCTCTTTCTCAACATAAAAACATATTAACTATTAACAAAATTAATACCACTAGAACCACCAAAAGTATTTTATTATTGTAACTAGAGTTAATACTAAATAGTATTTTATAATTATCCGTACATTTTTGTTTGTATTTGGCATTTATTTTGTTGAGTAGGATTGTAAAATCTTTAGAAACTTTTTAACTTGACACCCATAATTAGTGTTTTTACCATAATACCATTTGTGATTTTTTTACGTTTTTAATGAATAGTCTGTTTTTTGGATTTGTGGATATTTTTTGAGTTTTTACCAGAGTTTTGGAGAATTTCATGAATTTTTATCGGATTTTGTAAGGGAACTATAAGTTTGTATAGGATGTATGGAGAATCTCTTAGGTTTTTATTGAATTTTTTTAGGAATCTATGAGTTTTTATTGAATTTTTGGAGAACCTCTTAGATTTTTATCGATTTTTTAAAAATTTACCAATTTAAACTATCAAATTTGCATCAATCGAAATTTTAAAAAATGTATGGGTTTTTATCAAATTTTTGACAAAGTTTATGAGATTTAATGTGATTTAAAAAAAATTATAGATTTTTTCTGGATTTTTTAAAGATACTTTGAAATTAAATTTTTCTATATAAGTTAGTTGAATATCATTTTACCATTAATGTGATTTTGCATTCTATTTTTAATAATATTCATAATAGATTTAACAATTTAAAATTGTCAAAAAGATACGTTAAATAGTTCAAAAATATAAATTTAAAATTGAAAAGAACTACATAAAACTTTATTATTTTAGTCCCATATCGATTATTACTAACATTGAAGAGCGGAGGATTTGACTATAAATATTAAGTGTAATATGTCTTAAGAGTAAGCGCATTGCGAAATGGAACAAACACGGCGGCTACGACTCCGGTTACGCAGTGAAAGGAAAGAGGACAGGATTAAAGAGATTAAAGAGGACAGGATTAGTGACCTGCCGGACCCACTTCTGGAACATATCGTCTCATTCCTTCCGACAAAAGATGCGATTGCCACCAGCGTCCTTTCAAAACGTTGGAAACTAATCTGGCGGTCACAAATCATCATCTATTTCGATGACAGACCCTTTACAGACACCTTCTCCTTTCACCAATTCTTCAATTCCTTCATCACCATGAGAGATAACACTCTACCCATCCTCTCACTCCCCCTTAAATCTCGCCGCCACCGCTTACACTGCAACCACGATTTTGTTTATGCTGCAATTAGAAAAGGGATTGAAACCCTAATCGTCGATCTCCTCCAGCCAACCACACTCCCCTCTATAGTTCTAAGCACAAAAACCTTGTCGGTTCTCAAATTGAAGATGATAAAGCTGAACGACGACTTTCAATCTGTTGATCTTCCCTCGCTCAAAGTCCTTCACTTGGAATATGTCACTTTCAAAGCTATTCGGTATATCCATAAAATTCTATCTGGCTGTCCCATTCTACAGGAGTTGGAATGTCAGGATTTAAGAACGGAGATACCTACTATGATGCCTCCTTTAGGTATTGCAATATCTAATTTGGTCAGAGCCAGTGTTACCCGTACAACTTTTATTGGGCTAGAGTGGCTTCATAATGTGGAGCATCTCCACATGTATGTGGTATGTATCAATTTGTGCAGCACACGACACCCTCTTCATAAAATACATAAGTTTAATTGCTATGATCTTTTTTCAAATGATTAATGTCGGGGTGTTTGTACTTGATATTTCACTAGTCCAAATTTATCTGTTTAATTGTTCCATACCAACATCTTTGTAACTTAACGCAGGACAGGATGCCACCTACTATACGCGGCGTGTTTCACAATTTAACTCACCTTGAGCTTATATTCGGCGATGCGCTATATGGGTCTTACAAGTGGAAATGGCTCAAAAATCTGCTTCAAAATACCCCTAACCTTCAAACTCTTATCATTCATGACCTCTATATGGTAAGACTTTTTTTTTTAGTTCTATTTCTGTATGTTTTAAAAAACTTATATTTTATATCATTTAGGTCTATGGAGGTGAACAATGTCTCTCTAGTAAAAAAGAATGGAACTACCCAGAAATTGTTCCAGAATGCCTTTTATCTCATCTTACAACATGCTCACTTAGAGATTCGAGACTCATCAATTCTGAACTTCGATTTGCAAAATATATAATGCAGAATTCAAGACTACTAAACACCATCACAATTCAGACTGCCAAATTCCTAGACACAAATACAAAACTTCAAGTGTTAATAGAATTATCTTCATGCCCAAGGATTTCACCCACGTCTAAACTTCTTTTTATTTGAATGATTTCATTTCAGCCACATGTAAACATTTTACTTATTCGAATGATTTCATTTCAGCCACGTGTAATCCTTTTACTTATTTTAAAGAATTTATTTGTATATTTTTGTATATGGATTCAGTACTGTTTCTATTATTCTCAATGTCTCTGCTCTGCTTGTGTGCTTTTTATAGGCATTGCTTGCTTTGTGTTTTGATGAGTCCGTCTCCTTGATTTATTCATTAATCAAATTAATAGTGCCTCGAGTTCTCAGCAGAAGCCAATCATGCCACAAAAACATTTTTTTCCAGATATATAATGGAAATAGAGTAACTTATTGATTATGGTTTATGCACAATCAAGTGGACAACATCACTCTCAATTTGCATAACCGAATTTTTTGCTTGTAATGAAAATTAGAGTTTACGTTATGATAAGACCTTCTTGAGAAAGCTGACAGGTGGTAATTGGAAGAGAAATAGAGATTCTGATGACACATAATCTGATGCCAATAGCTCTAGCGTGGGCAGGCAATCCACAGACAAGTCATCTGAAATCTTGTTACAGGAAAATATTGGGTTGGAGCGTGCGAAGCTGCTCCGAAGCCTTTGAAGCTTGAATTATATTTTTTAGTGATAAATTGACAGGCATAAACACAAACTGTGAGATCAATTTTTTGGCTTCTATTAACCATCCCAATATTATTCACCACTCTTTACATGTCTTGTTTTATCTTGTGAGATACAGCTATAACTTCATGTCTTGTTTTATTTTGTGAGATACAGCTATGGAATTGGAACCCCTAGTTTGTTGATAGTGTAATACAATTGCTATTCATTTCACCCTATTGTAAATGTTTATAGTTGGTGTCTACTTTTCTGTGCACATAATGTCTATCGGTGCATATCAAGAGTAAATCACTGCATTTCATTAATAATTATAACTCATTAAGAGATTTTTAAAAAATAAAAACAAATTGTTACACTTCTGAATCAAAGCATCAATGTCATCGCAATCCACCACCAGACTTTCTGCTACCAGGTTAAAATTCAACTTAAAAATAACATCTTCAAAACGGAGATCATCTTCAGTGGGTTAATGTAAGCAATAATTTAAGTTAGGGGTGTACGTGGGATGGCTAAATCTAATAAATTCGATAAATTTCACCCAAATTAATTTAAAAAATGGATTAGATCAGGTCATTGAGTGAATATAGTTTTAAAAAATAAAAAATTATTCAAAATAATTGAATTATGGATAAATCTACACCTAACCTACAAAATCTATGAATAAACCTACACTTAGCCCATAAAATCTATGGATTATTGCATGACTATTTTTTGATTTTTTTTTTTAATTTTGGTTGTTTCAATTACAATTTTTTAAACTTCTTTTATTTATTTTGTAACTAATGATTTTAACTTATTTAAGATACTACACTTTAATGTTTTTATATGCTAATTCTTATATGTTACAAGTATATTATGTAATTCTAAATATTACTCTTAATGTAACTTTCGTTTTCGCAAATGTTCATGATGGTTTTTTTTGCACATTTAGACATTTGATGTTTAAAAAAGATAGTATTAGGTTAAACTATTTATTAAGGAAAAAAATGAGACATCATTATACTTATACAAGGAAGAAAAAAAAAGAGAAAAAATGGGTAATTTACTATTCAACTTAATCCAATTCACAAATTTGTAGTTTTATTCCAACTTACTAAATGATTTTGCGGGTGGTTATTTTACCCACCAAAACCAGTATATTTGTATTCTGTATGTATTGGGTCATGGTTTTGACTAAATTTAACGCAACCAAAATATGTACACTAGAGTTTCTCTGTTATTATTGATTTCTGTTTTAGACTGTTTTGTTCTTTATGTCAGAACCTCTTTAATAAATACTCTTTCAATCTCATACAAAGTGTGTGATTTGTAGTTTTTCTTTGTTTTAAAATAATTGTCTATTTATAGTACTCATAAAGGTTTTATTATTATTATTTTTCTATTATATTCATATTTATTAATTTTTATTTTATTCAACTATTTAATTACCTATGATTAATAAGAATATCCTAATATGCTCTTATTTTACACCAAAAGTCAAAGAAGAAGGTTTGTCATTCTTTAATTTTGTATGTTGTGCATTTTTATTTTTGTATTTCTTTTTTATGATCTAATACACATAAAATCTTCATATCCATGTAGGAAAGTATCCTCTTTCGATTTGTAACACTTACAATGTTATAAAACTGTACATCAACGATAATTTTGGTCCAATCAATGACTTCATTAAAATGTCCACTTCTTAACAACAACATTTTGTATTACTTTTAATACATACATTTCACCAAATTCTATAAAAATTTTATGTTTTCTTATTTCTGTTAGCATCCTTAAGGACACATTGGTGAATCGATCCAACCAGTTAAGTTCATAATCTCAAGTGTGGTCACAAAACTCTTCCAGTTCTTAACTAACTCCTTACTAGAAATTTAAGTCAAAAGTTGTGGTCCTTCCTATTAGTGAAATTAAGCAACTTAGTGAAGTATATCTTTTTATTCATGACTCCTTCCCGTCGTCCCCACACACTTTTTTATGTCTGAAAACATCTATTTTTATGTTTAACTTTCACCCAATGACTTTCCTGTAAATAGAGCTCATCACATCACAATATAAATGGTATTACCAAGCATGTCATCAATGTTCTAAAGTAGCTAAGGGAGACAAACCTCCGTTTAAATGTGAAGCTGAACATTTAACAACAGCTGAAATATTTAGGTTACATCCTTTGCCAAATGTTAATAAGAGCATATTTTATTCTCCGTTATATACATGACACTCATTACTACTTTCACATTAATGCATTACTAGGTACAAAATTCAAATATAAGTTGTTCTTTGCATAATTTGTTGTAAGTTTGTTTTTATAGGACCAAGAAAGTGAATAACTATTGGGACTCTCTGCTGCTCAAATGCGTCACACAATGATTGAGGTGAAGTCCTGTTGTTAAGAAGTATGAGAAATCAGAGCGTCCGTAGTTCGGACTACGGTTGGGAAAAGGTCTCGATCGCACTGAGGCAAGAGAAAAGGTTAGGTTAGTTGGTCTCGATCGCACAAGGGTGAGAGAAAAGGAGAGTTAGTTGTTAGTGTGCTCGCCAAGGATAAGGATCCTTGTGCCTATATATCCTCATTAGGGAATGAAGAATCAGAGCATCTGTAGTTCACGAAACTACAATTTGTTGGTGTTTTTCATGGATGATGCTAACATTCGTGTTCTAGTAGTTAGGTGTATTTTCGCTCGCTCGTGGAGTCTTATGTGTTACCTGTATTGTGGTAAAACGGAAATAACATGCCCGTTTCTGGAAAAAAAGGTTTAAATTTTCGCCATCAAGGCAAGATGCCACATTTGATTTGTTGAAGGTTGATTTTAAGGGTGAGATAAGTCCTCGGATAGGAACCCCTATGGGTAGTACCCAATTCTTTATCTCAAAAGATTTATTTTGAAAATGGTATGGCGAATATAGTCACGTCTTCATATTGAAAGATGAGTATCGAGACCACGCACTCTAAAGTGAGTATCCTAATACTCAGAGAGGAAGAAATCTTCACTCAATCCTCTCCTTTTAATCCAATACAAAGAGAACATTATTCTCTTATTTAATGTGTTTTAATTTAGATGGTAAGTACTTTATGACAGCGAACCCTAAAGGTAACTTCAAGCACTCAGGATAGGACTGTAAGAGCAAGATTTGTCTCTACAAGATTATCTCTATGTTTTGATGATAACAAATAAGTATTTGTGAAAGAACTATTTTATGTTCTAATGTTTGTTTTATGCAGATCATGTTAATTAAAGATATAAGATCAAACAAACAAATTTCAACGTGTGCAGTTATTACAATGTGAGAGTTACTTTGTGTGACGTATCACAAAGCGCTTATTGGAGAAGCAAGATTGCATCTGCGTCTGATCTGAAAGCAAACAACGCTTAATGAAGAAGCAAATATGCATTTGTATCTGATCACGTTCAGTAAGATCCAAGGATGCTGGATATTGCAGTTGCAATGCTCCTGTGGATTCTGTTCTGAGAAGTGCATCTGATCTGGAAGCTAACAAGTTTCTGAAGAGTGAGTCCTCTGAAGAACTAAGTGCTGAAGACTCTGATGACCTGAAGTTCTGAAGGCAGAAGGCTCTGAAGACCAAATGCAGAAAGACTCTGAAGACGTGTTCTGAAGATCAAGACTCTGAAGATTCTGAAGACATGATTTTTGAAGAATTAGTCATGAAGATTCTCAAGACTATTTCAGAGGAAACTTAGATCTTGGAATGCTGAAGACTGGATTCTGAAGTTGAAGATTATGTCAGAAGAAGCTTCACCCAGACAGAGGCGTGTTACTCATCAAATAAGCTCCTGCTGTTCAATCTGATAAACAAGTGCTTAAGTATAACAACTCTGATGCTGAAACTTTCATACCAAAGTAGTTGCTAAACTACTCATCAGATGAATCATCAGAAGAACCAAGTTAAGAAGAATCAGTACAACGTATGCAATTATTCAAATATGACAAAGACGTTGGTACTATTCATAAGCATGGTTTCCAAGGCTGAGATATTAACGCTACAAGTTATGGTCACTGTTCCTTCAAACACATGTGCTTATTTTATCCGTTGGGATATGACCGTTGGAATTAGAAATTCATATCTACCCTCACAAAGATGCATTATAAAAGAAGAACATTTGATTATTTCAAAAGCTAGCTGGCTGACCCAATAAAAACAGAAAAGCAACGTGAGCTTACAAAAGCCAGTATATTTATCAAAAGAAATGCTTTATGCTAGAAGCTGCAATGCTCACCTAAGAAAAGCTTTTAAGAAATATGGAAACTGTGTTCTTATAATCTCATAGAGATTTATCTTTACATTAGTTTCTGTATTAGGAGGCAAGGAGCTGTTGCTCAATACTTGCCATGTACTTAATTAGGAGTAATCTGCTTGTTAAGAAGCACTCATGTAATC